AGACAATTCATATGGAAGCTTGTCGTCTTACAAAGACTTGCAGAGCTAAAGGTATTTATGGTTCACCCCAAACATCATTGTGGCTTTTTTCATTCCAAAGGCGTGATTGCGGCGGGCCCGGACGAGAACAGCATTGTGATTCAGAAAAGTTCCCTATAAAGCAAAGATTTTTGGAACGGTATTGTAAACTACTGTGATAGAGACATTAGGTGTACGTGGAATGATCACGACTACTTGTTTCCAAACTGGATTAGTAATGGTTCTTGCACCCACGACCTATAAATTTTTCTGTTTCAGATCGCTCAAACGGAAACAGTTATCGGTCAGACTAATGTAACATTCCAACACAGGTGTTCGCTGAATTATCGATTCGATAAATTAGAGCGATTGAAAGTGTCGGTGTGAGTTCCTCCGAAGTTCTCACCAGTTGTATTCTGTATTGTTCAGCCTTTGGAAAGTATTTATTTAGATATTGTGTCAAAGATGACACCGGTGCTTTCCTCCATCGGATTGGTGAGGTTTACACTGATGTGGCCACGGTCATGGCGAATAAGGGAACGCTTTCACTCCCTTTGTCACCATCGGCTGCCATAGATATCTACATTACTGTTCCCGACTTCTATGCACATTATGTCAAGCTGAAGTTCCGAGGGACTCATCTTCAAGTACGCGAACATGTACCACTGGCACCTTACATGATCCTTGTTCTGAGGATCGAGAAACGGACTATATTACTCTACAAAAGCGAAGTAGTAAAGGAGAAGAACCCGAAATGGGCAGAATTCGCCGTTCCTATATATGTTATCCAGTTCTTTACACATGGCGCCCTTCAAATACATGTGTATAACCAAAACACAAATGCAGCAGACACGCTGATAGGTAAGAGATCCCTCTATACCTCCACCATTTCTTTCTTTCACGTTTCTGTGTTCTTCTCCGTTTTTTATTTTAAATACTTTTAATTAAGGTTTCTGCAGCACGTCAATGGCACAGCTGGAACGAGGCGTCGGAGCTCTGAATTCGTATATGGTTAGGTTCAATTACTATCCCTTGAGTCTGTTCTAGACAATCTCAACCATTTCAGCTTATGAACTTTGAAGGAAAGCGTATTCATGAGAAAATGAGTGTTGAACTTGAATCCATGGAACTAGGTCGTGGAGAAACATTTTTCAGTGCAATCAAAGATAGGTTAGTCATCATTCCTATGTTAAGGGCGTTTGAGCAGTTGTCAGTTCGTCATTGTTTATGCTAGTACGCATGTCTTTTTGATGACGGACTTTGCCTTCTCCACATGAACTATTAGACGGCGATGCAGCATAGTGCAGCACAACATCTTAATTTTTCGACTTTTGCGCTACTATTCGCTGCATTTTGAGAGGATTCGGTGTAGAAGCAAGTGGCGCTGCTTATGTCGGTGATAGTCCCAGGATCCAAACTTTCACCGCACGCCGTCCACGCCACCAAACCTTACATCTCTTTGGATCGTTTATTTGGGACCAGCCTGGTCTGGGGATAAAGAACACAGACGTGTACATCGTCATCCTAAATCATTTTGTAGGCCAAATAGCATTCAAAATATTGGGTTGGTGCATAATATCGTAGCGCTCGCATTCGGCAAAAACGTTCAAAGCAAAACCCAAAAGCAAAGCCAAGCATAAAACTAATCAGTGATGTTCTTCTCGTCATTATATACGACTTTGATCCCATTTCGCGAAAGATTGCCGGGTCCAGAATTTAAAAAAGGGTACTGAGCCCGTTTTCAGAGTCCTCATCATTCTCAATATGTACGACGTAAATATGATTTGTGATTGAGGGTCGATCGGAGTAAGTTTCGATGATGACGATAAGATCGAAACAGAGAGCAGAAACTTCATAACTTTTGGCAGCTTTTTTCTTTCTTATATATAGATTTTTCGCCCATCCTGAGTTTCCAACTTTCTAAGCACCATATCTGAGTACATTTACAATATAGAAGAAAATAACAAACAAGGTTTTGTAGAGCGGAAGAAGTACTTTCAAATGATATATGTGATTTCTTTGGTAGTACTTGTATTCACTGAGTTTGTAGCTCGAGAAAAAAAACGCTACGTTATTATGCGCACCAACCCAATTACTAAGAAAGGGATTCCACGATAAGAAAAGGTCGAAGAAAGGCGAAGCTTTTTAGAGAGAAAAGACAAGCGGACCCTCCTAAGGGTGTGCGGACAATTACGCGATTTTCGAAGGAATACCACTGCGATCTAGCATGGCCTTCACTTTGGTACAATTAGAACAGAACTACACCTCCAACTGTCTGATCATTTGCCGCAGGTGTATGCGCCACAAGTGATTATATAGCAGAAAGAGCGTTGGCGTTGAAGAGGGCACAATGATGAGGTAGTTATCAATGCCAGAAGGGGTCCCATTTCTCGGGTTCAGGGGCATTCACTTAGCGGTTTCTTTCTTCATACCGCTCCAATGACATCTGATACCCGTATTTCGAATACGCTACCATCATTCAGGACAAGACCCCCTTCAGGAAGGTCACGAATGCTTCCAATTTATAGAGGGATTTTGCATTAATTTTAATAAATCAATAATAATTAATGATTGATTGCGGCGCTATTCAAATGAAAAGAATTTTTTTCTCCAGCACTCATCTTCACCTCACTACGGCGATAGATATGACAGCATCAAATGGAAATCCCAACCAGCCTGATTCGCTGCACTTTATTCATCCACATGCTCAGAGCCCGTACGTGAATGCAATGCTTCGGCTAACACCGCTATTCCTTGGTTACATGGCTCACTCAAGAATAGGTATTAGCACTGTTTGTTTCGTCGCTACTACAGGAAAATGTGTGGTATTCTAGGTGCACTCGGTTTTGGCGCACGAACAGAGCCTCGATTTGAGTTGTCGCAGTGTTTTGCTTTGGTGAGCTCCATTCTCATTACTGTATTCTAGCGTCACAAATCACTCCATATTGCATGATTTTAGGTTTATTTTTTATTGCCATGGCTGTTTTTGCACACATGCTAAGCATGCTCAGCAGAAATAGCGCACCTGCACCATTTAATGAATTATTCATTTTTATTACACCTACACAAAGGCCAAAATTCCTCGTTTTCATGATTTCTCTTCCCTTCATTTTTCCTCACGTAGTCTGCTTCACTCATAACACTGTAGGCGCATTCCTCGAGCATTGCCAGATATTCATACAATGCAGTAAAATGGGCATTTTATCAACTTCTATTCTGCCCAAGCTCTCTTAGAACATTACATCCTTACAGGCAACTTACATAATGACAACCATTCTGAAATTTTCCACGGAACGCCTCGTTCATGCCTTTTTTAAGAGTATCCCCGCCTTTCACGGGTGCTTACTATGCTGGCATCCTTTTTAATCTCTTGGAACTTTCAGTAGAGCATGCCTTACATATATCGATGTTGAAAGTACCACATCATCCCTTTCTTGAGCTAAGCTTCTACGTGGGTCAATTCATCTCCTGAATTGTTCAGAGCGGTTCTCATACCGATCCTCATGTCGACGGTGTAAAAGGGCTGCTGGAAGCATACCGTTCGGCAATGATGGCAGTTCAACCATTCGCTCCTACAGACTTTTCTGAAGTAATTTATCATGTGTCGAAGTGAGTTCGTTTAGAATCGATAAATTTTGAAGACTTCGGTTGGCGCTCTGTTTGCTACTTTCAAATAAATTATCGTGGACTTTGTTGACCTAATCTACAGGTTCGCAAAAGCGGAGACAAGACGCCGACTCGGCTTATACTTCGTTTTGCTAATTTTGACGGATGGCGGGCTGACTAACCCGCGCCGTACTATAGACGCCATTGTAGATTGTTCTCTTCATCCGATGAGTGTAATTGCAGTCGGGATTGGAAAGGTATTCAAATAAGTGGTTTAAACGTGTTCACCATGGATAACCATGCTGACCCCGTTCTTCTTCAGGATCGAGAATTTGCAAGTGTTAAGGCCCTGGAATCACCAGTTCTCAAGCACTCTGACGGACGACCATTGGCCAGACAGGTTTGTTCGCTTTTCTGGTAGCTTACTCAATTACACGTACGTCCTTGAAACACTTCTCCTTTCAAGAACTTCCAATTCGTGCCATTCGAGGACCTCGACAGTGATGATGCAGTGGCATTGATTCCTCTTCAAATTGCGCAGTGGCGAAATCTCGTTTGCGAGAAGCCGATGGAGTCCCCACCCTAAAGAAGCCTCAAATGTACAGGGAAGGAAGTGCATTAATCTGATGATAACTGTGGAGCTAACCCATATCTGTCAAGATATGGGAAGTAAGAAATCGTCGAAGACCGAACGCTAGCCCATATCGGCAACCTACAAGATTTCACCATTTTTTGTTTCTTGGCTAACGCCGCTTTTATTTGCTAAAGTTCTTCCCCATTTCTCTACCTGGTGCACCGGCTGTTCCTGGGGATTGTCTTCTTTTTCATCTTTATTCTCTCTCATCTTCTAGCTGTGATCAGCCGTTTTTTGTTCCTGTGGACTTTAGCTGTTCCTTCGACTTTTCTTTGGTCCTTTTTGTAGCTTGGTTTTCAAGATTATAGAAAATATAGAATATAGATTATATAGAAAAACTCATAGTCTCCGCCGTCACAGTAGTTAGCTACTGATCTACAAAAATAAATACACGAAGAGGAACGGGAAAGGCGCAACTTCTGTCAGGGTTTTAATCCAGTTCTCTAGCTTTCACGACTCCCATTTAATTACCTATTTGAAAAGTTACCATCGATATGTAGGTCTGCGGACAACTAGCACTCAACTCTTCAAACCTTCAAGTGCGTCCCTTTGTCCACTTCAACTTTCCACTTCGAGTAAGTAGCTCACCGTCACGTATTTTCCAAACGAGTAAGGTTGAATTTCGAATGTCCCTTGTTTATTGTAGAACTTTCCCAGATGCAGTATCGACTGTACTTCTCCTTGAAAGTTCACTTCTTTCCTTTTTCCAACTCGCATCATGTAGTTCCCTTAGGGTTACAGTTTTAGCAATTATCGCTTGTGAAAAAATCCTTCAAACTTCCCGGTGCTTAGCATTTACTGGTCAGCAAATTTTTCCCTGTGCTTCTCTCCTCTTATCGTTAGTGGGTGCTCTCACGATCAGATCATTTTCTCGGGTTATTTGTTGGGCTAACAACGAAAACTACTGCTTATCGTCTATGCATTATGTGTCCGCATTGCCGAACAGAATTTAATTCGATTTTTGGTGTAATGTAATTATGATAGTTCTAGTTTCTGTTTCTATGTTTGGGAATATTATAGGCCCAATTTTTTGGTCTTTTACCAAGGGGGTTTCTCAGGGCAAGCCAGGCTTTTTGGAAATGGTTTCTTGCATATTGTAGGCACGCATGTATTAGAAATTTAGCGTGATTCGGCACCGAACCCGCAGGCGCCAACTCAAATGCAAAACTTAGTCGTTACGTGGAATCGAACCATCAACAGTACCTTATGCTTCTTTTTTTGTTCTGCTAAAACCGTCCAGGCGGGAATGAGACATGGTTTTGTGTTCCCTACATGCTGTCTCTACAATATGCAAAAAAAACCATGGCTTGCCCTGATGACCCCCCCTCTGTTAGCGTAAAGGTGTGGTGAATGGGACGCATGGAGGGGAGCGGTCGCGTTGTTTTTTTTTCTGTCTTCATTCTTTGCTTTACACGTTTTCTGTCATCTTTTTCGCCAGTATATTATCCGACATCCAGGCGACTTGAAGCTGTCGTAACCTATCGGTTTGATCTGCTGAATTGTACCCTTTTCTATTTGTATAGTGATTTCCTTCACAAACCTTTGTTGTATTTAGTCTGAAGCATTTCTTCGAGGCATCATGAGTTTTAGAAATGTTTTTGTATTTTGTGAGCGTTCTCTTCAAAAATCCCTTCAATATGTGTTACGGGTCATTCAGCAGCGTTTTAGTTCATTGTGTCATTAGAATTGCCTAGGTTGAGGGAAAGCCAAAATGAAGGGTGCTTTTCAACACTTGAATTTCTACCAGATTCAGAAATTATAGTGGAAATTGTCTTTTAATAGTGTTGATGATTTAACGAGTTGTAATGAAAGCACTGTTGGTACTTCACTGTGTTTTAGTGTTTTAGATTGTTCCTGGGTAGAGTGCGTTTTAGGTGTTCAGGAATAAACGGATAAATAGTTTTTCTCGGAACCTTTTTAAATGAATAATTATGTGCCAAACAGTCATATGTACCATGGTGGAAGTTCTGTTACGCCTGACTTTTCGACAGCTGCATCGTTTTCAAAGGCCAATCAAAATGTCTTGTAATGTTACCCTGCTGCTCACAGCTCATGCCGCCTACGGTAATCTTAATTTTTGCAGGGAAGAAAGCTCCAGGGGCATGACCTATTTCGCTTTCACACTCCACCCCAGCTTTCTCCCCTTTGCTGAAATTGTGATTACTGTAGAGGACAAAAATTACTGCACTACGAGCCTTTATCGGGATAGATCACAACTCACACTAGGATGTAACTTCAGCACTAGGCTGAGGCTACCGTAATTCGATGAAGCTGTAAACAAGTATTCCCTTTGAAATAAGGAAGGGCGGGGCCAGACGAGTTGTACGAACTTGCCTGCTCCACGGCTCAACTAACCCGCGCGTATTTGAATTAGCCGCTACGCCGTAATCCACGTTGCGTGTCATGGGGTGTGCGCGACGTAACTCGTCCAAATGCTAAGATTAGTCGCCAAATGCTGACTTTGTAAGACCCTAGCGCCATTGTCGCGCACTTTCGAGCCGCGACGGCACATCTGTGATACTCGTGGGCTACATCCAACTCACTGAAAAGATTCTTCGACACGACTTCTGCTGGGGACCTTACTTTGAATTGATCTTGCTTTGAGTCACGCCAGTTCTACCAATACAGAGCGCCGTTCAGTTTCGGGAACAATCGAGCAGGTGGGATTGGCCGGTTGACCACTGTTTGTAAGATGTGTGTTCTCCCTATCGGCGTTCGAAAAGT